GTAGAGATAGAATTGTATAGGGAGAGGACTCTTCTGTTCAAACTTGTATCTCTTCTCTATCTCTTCTTCTGCTCCTTACCGACCTTCTCTGTAATCGATCTATCGATCGTTTCCTTCTTGTAAGCCACGGCATTGCCAATATAAATACAAGTGCGACCCGAGCAAAGGGTTTAACGCTTCCCAATAATTTTACATGCGTTGCGCAAGATCAACTACCGCTTGTCGGAGGCTTTATCCATGGAGTAAATAGCGTGCGCATACAGCAACAAAGAAATGGAAATTCAACGCGCGCGCACATAGGAAGCCCAACCATTTTATTCTGTCATCTTGTTCCAGGAGGATCCATGGAGTTGCCGTCACGGGGAAGGGCACACGGCGGCAGTGCTATGAACAAGACGCTGCTACTAGTAGTATTAGAGATGAACAAGGGGATTAAACACAAGTAGACAGATGACATATATAAAGTCTTCGTCCAAAGTCTCCTCTGTTCCATCAAACACCAGCGGACGCTTTGGTGTCACCTCCGTCGTCCAGGCGTCCACGGTGTCGCCGCTGGTCCTCACGCTGGGACCGTCTCCGAGTCGATGCCGTTCGGACGGCCGAGCGCCTTGAGTGCCAGGTGCGCTGCCTTCTGGCCGGAGATAATCGTGGCGCCGAACGTTGGGCACTGCAAAACACCACAAGACAAGACAGACCAAAACGCGGTGAGAGAAATGAGATCGATTCCAAGAACTCCTGTGAAGAAACGCATTATATATTTCTCACCATCCTCTGGGGCCCGTCGATCTCGGCAACCTCAATGCCAGCGACGATCATGCCGGGGACGACCTCGCGGGTTAAGCCAACAATTGCATCCTCGGATACGTTCGTGTCAAGCGCTTCCATTCCGGTTCGGGGCACCGTCTTGATCATTCCGATGTCCTCGAGCCGTTTGACTCCCTTTCCGTTGGCACTGAATAGCCCCTCGTGGCCACATGAGCTTACTACGATCTTGGCTTCCATGACGTTGGCGTCCATGTGTGATTGTGTTTGTGAGTGTGTGTCCTGGTTCATCCACACGAGCGCCCAGTTGGTGACCACACCGGTGACGCGATGCTCTTTGACAACCAAGTCTTCCACGACGACGCCGTTAAAGAGCTTCACGTTGGGCCGCGCGAGGAGGCGGCTCAGCACGGTGGAGGTGAAGAGCGCAGCATGCTTGATGACCACGTAGTCCTCCTGCTCGTCGTACTCGATGTTGAGTTCATCGAGGAAGAGGTGCGCCGGCTTGCGCACGACCATGGCGGAGAAGAGCTGGCTGCCGAGCCAGCCGCTGCCGCCAGGGGAAACGGACCGTTGGATGATGGCGATGTTAACAGACGGGTCCTTGGAGAGCTCGTAGGCGCAGGACAGTCCCGCGCTGCCAGTTCCGATGATGATGACATCGGTGTTGACATCGGCGATCATGTCGGTCATGTACCGTCGGATCATCTCACGGGAGGCGACAGATTCTTTCATGGGGCTGAACTTGAAGGAACTGAGATCATAGGGAGGGGTGCAGGAGGAGATGGAGTTGCAGATGGCCCCGGTGCGCCGGGTGGCGGCACAGGAGGGGGTGCGAGTGGCTGCCGGAATGCAAACGCCAGGGAATGAGGTCTTGAGGAAGCTCGAGGTGGTGATTGTCATGGCTGCCATGTTGTGCTGGCTTGTGCTAGGAGCCTGTGAATGTGATGAGACTAGACAACGCGCAGTGGCACGATTTAAAGAAGACGAGGAGGGGACAGATATGTATGGATCGTGTCATTGTGTGGGCGTGCCGTCAGATATTGAGGTATTTTCTCTGCCGTTTCTCTGCCTTTGCTGCATAAGCATATATTTTTTCCCACCTTTGCCAAAATAACGCATACTGGATTGACACTATAATCTTTTATTTTCTATTTTGTTCGAGGATTTCGACAAAATAACACAACTTTCCTCTCTTTGCTTCACAAGCACACATTTCTTTTCCTTCACCAAAATAACACACCGATGATTGCCACTTAGCCAAATAGCCGTTTTCTCTACTTTTTTGAGGATTTTGACAAAATAACATAGCTTTCCTCCACGTTTGCTTCATAAGAAAAACATTTATTTTCCTTTGCCAAAATAACACACCACTGCCGCCAGGTGTGCTGCCTTCTATTCCTTTGCCAAACATTGTTTTCCTTTCCCAATACATTTTTTCCTTTGCCAATATAACGCGCCACTTTTCAATGCCTTTTTTTGGGAATACTAGATGATACCCCACGTGTTGCTGCGGGAATTGATTGCATTATTATTTTGTGCTGCGGGAATTGATTGCATTATATTTTGATAAAAATTTCATTGTTTGGAATTATAATATGAGAATGAAATCAGAATATACATATTATAGTGAATTTGATGAGGTGGCATGTATGGTGAGGTGGGATGTGTGCATGTTGAAAGAAATATAAGTAGTGGAATTATGGAGTAAATTGCAAAAGAAACACCACTTTGAAGGCTAGATTTGCGAAAAAAAATACTAAGATACATTTTCTCTGCAGAAAACACCACATCTTACAAAAACCACTGATCGGCGGATTAGGCCCTGTTAAGTGAGTTCATGACAGGTGGCAGTAAATACAGATCAACGGATTTGGCCCCGAATAAAATGAGGAAAAGGAAAGAAACAAAAATGGCAGTAAATACAGAGAAAGAAATGAATAAACGGATGAAAAAAGAAAAAGGAAAACAGTGTAAAAACAGGCTCTTTTTCTCCTAGCAGGTCACGCCCAGCTTATTTATCACGGACTTGATGTTAGCTCAGTGGCAACAGTGCTACGAAGCAACCAGGAAATCGCATGAGATATCCACGAGTGGGCCGGCCCGTTATAGTACACGCTTCACGCGAGAGATCCTTCTGCCTCACGTGAAGCGAGGTATAGTCGCCGTGGGAGCTCCTAATCAGTGTTGTAAGCGCTGGTTGCCGCTACTGGCACTCACGCACGCACACGACCTTTGATCGGCACATGTAGAAGATCACTCGATCACATCTCGCATGTTTCTAGTTGCTCGATCAATTTGGGTCGATTGATCGATTTGGACTAGTCGCAATTGACCAGTTGACCGAACAACCATTGACTTTGGAAAAAGAAATGGAAAAGTAAAAATAATAAAATATCACAAAAAATGAAAAAATAATTGTGATTCAAAAATGATCATGGATTTCAGAAAAAAGTTCAGATACTTCAGAAAAGTCCATGAATATGAGAGAAGTTACAATTTTTTTTGAAAAAAAGTTCATCAAATTTAAAAAGGCTGACAAAAGTTGAAAAACAAAATCTTTGTTCTTGAAAAAAGTTCATCCATTTGAAAAAATCATCAAATTTGAAAATAATTACATTGATCTTAAAAAAGGTTCATCTAATTTGAAACAAAAAACCACCAATCTTGGAAAAAGTTCATCGAATTTGATTTTTTTTGCCAAGTTTAGAAAAAAGTTCATCTAGTTTGTAAAAAGTTCCTTAATTTTGAAAAGAAATTAATGAATTCAAAATAGTTCCCTCATTTAAAGAAATAGTAAAGAAAAAACAAGATTGAAAAAAATGAAAGAAAAGAAACAAAAAAGGAATAACAAAACCATATAAAACTGGCCCAGTAAAAAACTGTAACTAAAAAAGAAAAGAAAATGGCTGGAAGCTTTGCAAAACCGGGGCTTCCACGAACTAGGGAAAGTATAAATGGAAAGAAGGGAATTTTCTATGCACAAGTGATTCGATATCCTAGTGGTTAGGTCGTTTCTCTCTAGACATAGAGATTGCGAGATCGAAATCTTCGCTTTGGTTTAAAATAGAAAAAAAAAGTTAATGAGCTGGCCAAGCTTGGAGAGGGGGTATGCGCCCGTTTATAAAAACAACTTTCTTTTAGGGAAGTTTATAAAAACAACTAAACCGGGCGCCTGAAACGCCAACTAGGAATGCCAGTCGCCGCGCCCAAAGTTGAAGACGAGGATCTAAAAGTAGACCTGGGCTTAATTCTATGGCGCTCTTCGGCCCGTATGGAACAGACGTATGGGCCGAATTCGGCAATATCCTCTCCTCTTTTTTTCTTCCTTGCACTACTATTTGGTAATAATCCATTTTCAGAAGAGGAAAAGGTGGAGTGATCGGATAGAGAATCCCGGGGCGTGGAGAGCTCCACCTCCTTCTATCCTTGCCAAGCACGGAGCTCAAGCTCTTGCCCGCATGGCGCTCCTCCGCCTCCAGCACCACTGCTCCCTCCTCCAAATCTCCACCTCCCACCTCCCAACCCTCCTCAGCCCCCCGCGGAACCCTCGCCGGAGCCAACTCTCGCCGCCCAATGCGGCCAGGACCCCCAGCCCCTCCATAACCCCACCCTCCGCCGCGCCAATCTTGGCGCGGAATGCGGCGGCGGCCCCCTGGCGAGGCGAGCTCCTGCTCCTCCTCCCCGCGGCCGCTACGTCCTGGCCGCTCCCGGCCCTCGCGGCCGAGGCCGACGGCGGCGGCGGGAGCAAGGTGAGCCTCGAGTCCATCGTGCTTGCCGTCGACGACTTCAACAACCGGAACCCCTTCTTCGTGGCCGGGGTGGTGTTCGTCTGGCTGGTGGTGCTCCCGCTGGCGCAGGAGTACTTCAAGAAGTACAAGGCCGTGGGCGCCCTCGACGCCTTCCGCAAGCTCCGCGACGTGCCGGAGGCGCAGCTGCTCGACATCAGGCGGGGCAACAGCGTGCGCTTCATGGCGCCGCCCAACCTCAGGCTCGTCGAGAAGAGCGCCGTGCAGATGGAGTTCGACGAGGAGGACGAGAAGCGCTTCCTCGGGGAGGTGCTCGCGAGGTTCCCGGACCCGGCCAACACCGTCGTCTGCGTTCTTGACAAGTGAGTGTTCCATGGAACTTCATTTGACGCCTGCTGTCGGTGGTGTGCCTGCATTACTGAAATGCTTTAGTAGTTGCGTGTATTGGTCGAATAGGTTCGGCATGAATCATTCGTGATGGAATGCCGATTAATGTGCATAGTGCTAGATGTCTTTTTATGCAGCAGAGTAGTCGTGTACACAGCTTAGATTTAGAAGTGCAATGCAGTTCTAGTTAAACAACGAAATTCAACTATTTCATGCGAAATTTGTGGAATCAAAATAGACCCTTCCCTTCCAGAATCTCTGGATCGGGCTTACTGTTCTATCATCGAGTCGATATCAAGTTAAGACCAGTTTTGTCACGCTAAGTGATGTTCAAAAAAGTTGAGACAGACTGATTTAGTATCGTCTTAGTTACAACTGAGAACTACTTCCGCATCGATCTCACGAACCGAGCAAGAGCATAGTCGTGTTTCAAGAACATTGTCTTTTGTCAGTTTTGAGCATAATCTTAATAATTTTGGTTTATTTGCGACTAGCACAGATCAAACTGCCACATTGACAGTTCAAAATAGTCTGAAACAATTAGTCAATTACCTTACTCGTTCTGCCACAATGAAATACAGGGATAAGCTTGTTTTCCATCCAATTAGTCCCTATTGTATCTAATTGTCTAACTTAATAAATATATAAATAAATAGAAATTTTCTTGTCATGTTCTAGTTCATCTTCGAGACTGTTAAAGATGGATACCATGTCAATTTGCCCTCTGAAGCTTGTTACTTTAGATTCAGAATTCAGACAGTGGCAGTTTTGCATAGGTGCTGAACGTACTGATGTTACTGAACTTTATCATGCGCAATCTGTTACCAACTTAAGTTTATGTTGTGTAAGGTAGCTTTGATGGTAATTCAATGAAAGTGGCCGAGCTCCTGTTCAACAATGGTTTCAAAGAGGCGTACGCAATCAAAGGGGGACTGAGAGGCCCAGATGGTTGGCAGGTTAGTTATGACACTGGGGTTTAAGTAATAACGGCGGTTAAAATGCACAAACATTGTTGTTTTAGCACTGATATTTGCTATTTTGGTAGGCAATTCAAGAGAACTATCTTCCACCATCTGTTCACGTTTTTCCACGGGAAAAGAAGAGCAAAACTTTAACGCACACTGATGTGAGCACTGAAGGAACAGATGATCAGCCAGAGGGGAATGGAGAACTATTAACTTCTCCTAGCAGCACTTTAGTCAATACAAGCAATGGAACCAAGGATGGTCATGAAGAACCGAATGGAAGTACTTTAGCCGCGAAGCATTCAAGGAGACCATTATCACCTTATGCAAATGTATGACCCCATTGCCTTCCTATCTCCATACAGTAATTCAGCAGGCTCTAGATTTGATTTTCATCAAACTTCTATCTAGTCAACAGCAGTTATAATGTTGTTTTCAAAATAGTAACAGCATGCAGGCTGGCCTCACAGCACGTTGTCATACTTAAGAGTTAACTGAATTCTCCTTGTATTTACTGCGGATATACTAGAGTTCCGTTTCTGGACATAGTATAGCCTTGTAAAGCCTTATGCGTGTCTTAGTTAGACAGTTAATTCCTGAAAACAATGGCAGGCGCTATGCTCTGTGCTAGCAGGTGAATAAACAGTCACAACTGCCCTGCTCCAATGTTTTCGTGCCTAAGATGTTCAATGCATTTTAGGTTTCTGTTTGAGTTCTATATGATCATGTCGTAATCTATTTGCACACCTTGAATGTACTATGCAGTACCCTGACTTGAAACCGCCATCATCTCCGACGCCATCCAAGCCATCGAGGGCAGAGGGGAATGGGGAACTATCAACTTCTACTGGCAGCTCTTTAATCAAAACAAGCGATGCAACTAAGGATACTCACGCGGAACCGAATGGAAGTACATTAGCCACGAAGCAATCAGGAAGGAAACCATTATCACCATATGCAAATGTATGTCCCCATTGCCTTGCTACCTCTATACAGTAATTCAGCAGGCTCTAGATTTGATTCTCTCGAACTTCTATCTAATTAACAGCAGTTGACTTTTAGTCTTGAAGATAGTAACAACATGCAGACCGGCTGGATTGCATGCCGTCATTACAGAATTCTCGTTGTATTTACTGCTGATATACAAGAGTTCTGTTTCTGGACATAGTATAGCCTTGTAAAGCCTTATGCATGTCTCAGTTAGTAGTTAATTCCAGAAAACAATGGCAGGCGCTATGCTCTGTACTAGCAGGAGAATAAACAGTTTACAAACTGCTCTGATCAAATATTTTAATACCTAAGTTGTTCAATGTCCAATGCATTTTAGGTTTCTGTGTCAGTTCTTTATGATCATGTATTGTAGTAATCTGTTGACACATACTGAATGTATTATGCAGTACCCTGACTTGAAACCGCCCTCATCTCCAACGCCATCCAAGCCAGGCAGGCCAGATAAGAATAATGAACTACTAACGTCTCCTGGCAGCTCTTTGGACAATACAAGCCATGCAACCAAGAATGGTCGTGAAGAACTGAATGGAAGTACTTTAGCCACGAAGCATCCAAGGAGACCATTATCACCATATGCAAATGTACGACCACATTGCCTTCCTACCTTCATACAGTAATTCAGAAGGATCTATATTCGATTTTCATCAAAATTCGATCTAGTTAACAGTAGTTAAAATATTGCTCACAAAATAGTAACAACATGCTGACTGGCCTGACAGCATGACGTCATACTTGCAGTTAATTCCATCACAGGATTCTCTTTATATTTACTGCTGATAAACTACAGTTCTGTTTCTGGATATAATATCGCCTTGTAAAGAAGGCCTTGGACCTTGGTTCCTGAAAACTATGGCAGGCGCTATGTTCTGTACTAGGAGGAGAATAAAGAGTTACGGACCGTCATGGCTGAAGCTCAAATGTTTTCCCACCTAAATTGTTCAATATACAATGCATATAGGCTTCTGTTTCGGTTCAATATGATCATGTACTAATCCATTTTTATTATTTGTGGGAATGTACTAATCCATTCGCACACATTGAATTTATCATGCAGTACCCTGACATGAACCCGCCATCATCTCCGACGCCATCCAAGCCAGGGAGGTAGAAGAAGCAATGTATAGGGCAATAGGACGCCGAAGACTCAACGAAGTCAGAGTCAGCCTTTTGCGGAATAACCATTTTGTTATTATACTTAAATCCATGGATATAGAGGCGATTGATTGGGATGGTGATGCAGAAGACCGTTGCTGCTACCATGAACTATTTGATGTTATAGCATGGTGAATTCTTACATTCTATGTAAATTTCGAACTTCTTCCCAGATTGCTGTTCTTATTGTCTGTACATTGAAGTGAATGTTGCACTACGAAACTGCAAGCATTTCATGTTAACACTGTACTGGCACGATGACTCCTTAGCTTGAGGATTTTGGTAGTGCTGCATGGATCTCAGCCTGCTAACCGTGTCTCCTCTGCTGAAAATCAAAATTCTTTTTGGAGCTGTGCGTTTGCAACAGGAAAAGAACAGGCAATCCGGAGTGTGCAATGCTTATACTGCGGAGTTGTCATATTCAGTTCTATGAGTATTTGAAGTTGGCTGGCTGGCTGTGTGTGTGCGTGTGTGTGTGTGTGTGTGTGTGTGTGTGTGTGTGTGTGTGTGTGTGTGCGCAGGAAACGGTAAATCAGTTAGGTCGCGGTGAACTGTTTGTTTTTCAAAAAGGAGGTTATCCCCCGGCCTCTGCATCAGAAAGGTGTGAACTGTTGAACTATGAGGTTAATTTGAAGAAGTTTGTGTGCAACAGTGGGTACCTACCTCTCTCTCATCTCCAAACCCTGGAGACCCCTCCACCGCTGATAGGTCGCCATCCCCTCCCCCTTTGCCGGCTGCGCTGGTGTGGGAGTGCGGGGAGGGCCGGACTACCGGATGGAGCTCTAGTTAATCCTGCTTTGGGGCTTTGGGTAGAGTGGCGGCGCTTCATTGGTGGATCAGAAGTAATTTTTCCTTAAGCTTCTCCATCTTGATTCTTGAAGGCTTCGGGTGCGGCGGCATCGGTGGCTAGTTGGTGTAGATTCCTGCTGACTTTGTGGGGCTAGGGCATCTCCAATGGCAACCCGCAAATTTCTTCTGCATCTATCCATGGACATGGAGGCCAATCCGCGGACACGAATATGGAAGGCCGACATCCAATGCTAACCGCATACATTCAAACAACAATTAGAACCAACCTCATGAAATTCGATTAAACAGGACTGCTTTCATTCAAATTCGGATATGATTTACATCAAAAGGTCGATATTTCGACCGTTTGACTAAAAAACTAGAAAAAAACATAAACCCTATAGCGGACGACCACCCCATACGCGTGGCTGCCTTGCCCTGCCGCGCCACCGTCTCCGTCGGTTCCGCCGTCGTCGTCCCTCCAGCAGCAGTACGACGCCAGAGGGCCGCGGTAGCCTTGTCCGGTGTCTGCTTGCCCCTCACGGAGGAGCCGCTCGACCTCCTGTTGCATCGTGCGGAGAGCCGCCGCGACCACTGCCGACGTGGCCTTCAGAGCCCTGGGCGGCGGCCTTGGCGCGGCCGGCGTTGGCGGAGCAGTCGCTAAGCGACCACTCCTCGCCATCAAGGCTACGGCGACGCCAGGCAGCCGTCTCCGTGATGGTCACGGAGCGTCGAGCACCCACGCGGTGACGAGGTCTGGGTCGTTGCGGGCCCAGTACGACACCACGTCGCTCTTGGCGAACGCGGAGCGGCGACTGGCATTGCGCCGGTTGTACCGCTCCTACTACCAAGTCGCGCGCTCTGGCTCAGAAACGACGGCCCTCGAGGCCGAGGGACTGCCGAGGTAGTGGAGGAGGCGGCTGAGGGAGTCTTGGATTAAGGGGTCCTCGGGCCGCCACCCATTGCTTATGGGCCGGACTAATGGGCTCCTATGGAGCCGAACTAGGGCGTGGATCCGTGACCAGATAGGAGATCTTCGGAGCCATGGTGTGCCCTCCAAGTCAAGATTTAGCATGATCTTTTCTTTGTTGTAACCGATCGCATGTAACCCTAACCCTACTCGTGTCTATATAAACCAGAGGGTTTTAGTCTTTAGGGCTAGAGCAACATCCAATCCCTCCTCGACCTAGGGTTTTGCTCGCCTGATATCGAGGTAGATCCACTCTATAACCATACTATACACATCAAATACAACCAAGAAGGACATAGGGTTTTACCTCTTAGAGAGGGCCCGAACCTGGGTAAACACTGTGTTCATCGTCCCTTGTTCCCCATAGATCCTAGATCCACAGTTCGGGACCCCCTACCCAAGATCCGCTGGTTTTGACACCGACATTGGTGCTTTCATTAAGAGTTCCATTGTTGGGTCGCCGAAGGATCGATGGCTCGCCTGATCATCGGAGATGGGGTCAACTCCGGGGACCTCTTTGTCCCCGGCCAGCTCTTCGCATTCGACAACATCGTGCTGCACGCCAACCCAACGGGTCATCTAGACCAAATGCAAATCGACAATTTTGCCCCCGAGCACCGGATTAGATTTGACAACTTGGAGTACGCCGCGAACGCTCAAGGCGATCTAGTCTTGACCGGATTCGCAGCCTCACCCGGTACCCCTATGGGCCCCCAGTGCCTACTCCGGAGCTTTCTCCCAATCTGATCTATGGATCGGCCTCAACCCCCCTGCCAGCCTTGAGCTCGAACATCTCCACCCTGTCCGGAGGCCGGGAATCCCCTTCAACCACGCTAATGGCGCCCGCCGAAGACCCAGCCTCAAGCCTCAACGCAGCTGCGGTGTTTGGTGCCAAGAGTCACTCTCGACCGAACCCTTTCCCTCATGTTATGGATCGGCCTTGGAGCCCAGTGACGAAAATCAGGAATCATCCCCGACCGAACTCCACCTCACCCCCTTGGCTCCGAGTCCCAATACGGAAGTAACATCCGAGGACCATGTCTTACCCTCAGTCTCTCCCGCCTATCTGGACGTAAAGCCGACCCCAGGCCTTGAGCTCAACTCGGCCCTTGAAGACCGGGATCCAGCCCAGACCCAGATCATTCCTTGCCCTGCCACGTCGGAGACCAGCCCTCAACGGCCACCGCTTACCAGTCCGGCGACCCTCGCTCTATTAAACAAGGCGCTGGACCGAATCCAGATGATGGCTATCCGGGAGGATCCACCCTCGGCCTGCGTTCAGCAGCCCCTTTAGGTGAATTATAGGGAATTTTACGGCCCACCCACCACCCACCTCATAGCCACAGTCGAAGACTTAACCGACATGTTGGACTACACTTCGTAAACGCCAAATACATGGACGAGGATAGTGGAGCCACGGCTAACACCGATGCTGCTCCCCCCATCACCGGCCGCTGTACGGCCACGTCCACTTACAATGTCTACATGGTGGACACCCCGAAAGACAATGACAGCACTCCCGGGGAGGATAACAGCAGGCCTAGTGATGAGCCGCTGAAGTGTCGCAGACAACATCGCCGCTCCAAGGCGACTCGAAGCCATGCGAGCAACACGAGAACGACACTGGGACAATGCTGACAACCACGATGACACCGGCGTTGATGAACAACCACGGGACGATCACGAGGAGCATGAGGACCCGCTCAGTCTCGAAGACCTCAACGACTCCGAAGACAGTAATTACCTCCCCCTTTCCGACCAGGAGGTCAGTTTGGGTGACGAAGATTTTATTGCCCCCGAAGATCCGCTGGACCAAGAGCGGTTCAAACGATAGCTCATTGCCACCACACGTAGCCTGAAGAAACAACAACAAAAAATAAAGGCTGAACGGGATACCCTTAATGACAGATGGACTAAGGTCCTAGCTGCCAAAGAGGAGTACGGCTATGAACGACAGACCAAGAGCTACCCGATGCGAAGACTGTTGGGGAACATAGCATGCAATTTCAAAAAAATCCTACGCTCACGCGAGATCTATCTAGGAGATGCATAGCAACGAGGGGGGGTGTCTACGTACCCTTGTAGATGGAAAGCGGAAGCGTTTGACAACGCGGTTGATGTAGTTGAACTTCTTCTCGTTCCGACCAATCAAGCACCGAACGTACGACACCTTCGAGTTTTGCACACATTCGGCTCGATGACGTCCCCCGTACTCTTGATCCAGCAAAGTGTCGAGGAAGTAGATGAGTTCCGTCAACACGACGGCATGGTGACGGTGATGGTGAAGTTATCCGCGCAGGGCTTCGCCTAAGCGCAGTGAGAATATGACCGAGGGTGTAATCCATGGAGGGGGGCGCCGCACACGGCTAACAGATGTTGTTGTGTCTATATGTGGTGCCTCCCATGTATATATAGGTGGGAGGGAGGGATGAGCAACCCTCGGGGCACCCCAAGTAGGAGGGATCCTACTTGGGCTCCTGCCCTAGGTCGGCGCCCCCTTTCCTTCTTTTGGCGATGAGGGGAAGGAAGGAGGAGGTGGCACCCCCCCATTCCTTTCTCCCACCAAGGGGGAAAGGCGGGAAGAGGTGGCGCCCCTCCTTTCCTTCCTCTAGGGCCTTCGGCTAGGGAAAGGGGCGCACCAGCCCCTTATGGGCTGGCCTGTCCCTCCCCCAGCCCATTAAGCCCATATCTTTGCCGGGGTTGCCCGAAACTCCTTTTCGGTGACCCGATATGTACCCGGTACCCTTCGGAACACTTCCAGTGTCCGAATACCATCGTCCTATATATCAATCTTTACCTCTCAACCATTTCGA